TCTTCCCTCCTTTCTTCCTTTCTTTCTGTCTTATTCTTTCTCTCTCTCTTTCTCTTGTTCTCTGTCCCTCTCTCTTTCTTTCTTCTTTCTCCCCTATTGATACCGAATTCCAAAACGGGGATTGGAAGGATGTGAGGGCGAACTTCTGGAGAGAGGAGGGTGGGAAGCATCAGATGCCCTTGCAAACTTGCTGGAGGAAAAAGGATGCTGCAGGGACGTTGCAAGGGTGGGGAGTCTGTGCACACCAGTGGTAGGATTCAATTTTTTTTACTACCGGTTCTGTGGGCGTGGCTTGGTGGGTGTGGCAAGGGAAGGATATTGTAAAATCTCCAGTCAGAGGTGGGATTTGCCAGTTCTCTGAACTACTCGAAATTTCCACTGCCGGTTCTCCAGAACTGGTCAGAACCTGCTGAATACTACCTCTGGTGCACACCCACCCTGCGAGGTAGCCCAGAAGTTTGGGTTGGGCTGTGACCGCCAGCATTCTACTTGTATAAACAAATGGGAGTTGTAGTCCTGCCCAATCTGGGAATTGGCTGAGCATTGCAGCCGGGAAGAAGGAAGCTGGGATGAGACCGAATAAGCCTCTTCTGGCTGGGAACCGAACTCGAACAGAAGAGAGGGTGACTGAATTAAGGTATGAATTCTTGCACTTTCTTGTAAGCCCAGAAAGTGTTTCCGAGGCATAGACTTTCATGAAGCACAATCTGCTTCATGCATTTGATCTGATGCAATTCCAAGTGGCATCTCACACCCTGGTTAAACCAACCATGATTTATCGAGTCAATGACAATGACAAACCCCACAATGCACAAAGCTATTCATCACACGGTTTACAAATCACAAATGGCTTGGTTCACACAACACAGCCAATACAGCCCAAACAAAGAGCTTAAATGCATTTGCAGACAAAGTTGGCCAAAGTTACACTCTGCTTGCCAAGTTGTTGTTTTTAGGATGTCTTGTTTATCAACAAACAAAACTTTCTAAACTCAGGCTGGTAGCTGTGCAGTTAAGGCAACCCGAGCACTTCAGAATATTGATGGGTGTTTTCTGCCGTTTATATAACCTCAGTGATCAAGCAATTGAAGCTGCCTTTTCTGATGATGGTACTTGCCAGAGAATTGCAAATCCTTGAGATGCTCGTCTTTAAGCATTTGGATTGGATTCAGTTCATAATGTCTTTTAACTTGCTGGCGAAAGAGTCCTTGAATTTGATGCGGCCTACTTCTGAATAGAGATGTACAGGATTACAGTGTAATCCCTTGCAAATTACTATTTATGATTGTGGTTTAATAGTTGGCCACCTCTTTGTAAACAAGGCACTCTTTTTTTTTTTTTCCACAGAGGTGTTTTACCTGCCTCAACCACGGGTCCCTTGAGGGAGGAGAGCTGGAGGTCTCTGGGTTTTTAGACACAGTTCCATGTGCATTTCTCCCTACAATTACAGGTAGTCCTTGACTTACAACAGTTCATTTAGTGACCAAAGTTACAAGGGCACTGAAAAAAGTGACTTATGTCCATTTTCCACACTTCTCTCCCTTGCAGAATCCCCAAGGTCACATGATTGATATTCAAATGCTTGACAACTGGCTCATATTTATGATGGTTGCATTGTCCTGTGATTCTTCTGACAATGGGGCAGCCAGATTCACTTAACAACCGTCTTACTAATTTTACAACCACAGTGATTTTTTAAACAAAGACAAGAGAAGTCACAAACGGGGCAAAACTCACTTAACAAAATTTCTCACTTAGCAACATAAATACTGGGCTCAATTGTGGTCATAAGTTGAGGACTGCCTGCTTTCCTCGTTTGGTAACGACCACTGAAACCAGCCATTTGGTCATTAAATGAAGAGAAACCGCAAGTGTGTTTGTTGTTACAAGGCTTTCCTTTGTTTTATAGACCTGCAAAGGTGATCAGTGCAAAAATTGGTCGCAAAGTTACTTTTTTCATTGCCTTCATAAGTGTGAAGAGTCACTAAATGAGGACTACCTGTAGGGGGGAAAAAATCAGTAGGGTTCCTCAAGTTTTCAGTGGTTGAGATTTTGAAGAGAAATTCTCAAGCAGAGAAAGCCAAGCTGACTGGCTTTATGTAATGCTTTTTCCTATGCTAATTTGAGGCTCAGGTCTTTCATCACTGCTGAGTTTTGTAGAAGTCATCAAACATAAACGGTGCAGAAGAGACAGGATTTTTACAGCATCGCTTTCAAAAATTGCCCTATATATGCAATTTTATCAGCCTGGTCTCTCTCTGCATACATTAGTAATAGTTATTGCATAAGATTTTCACGTGGTTTCGGAAGGTTGGTTCACCTGCCTGCATTAGCAAGAAGCAGGCTTGCCTTTTAAAAGGGGGTATACTGTGCATTGTGTATATGTATTATTTATTAAATTTATATGCCGCCCATCTCATTGTCAAGCAACTCTTGTATTGCATCCTGAAATTGGTTGGAGATTTTTTTTATCTCCTAAATTAAATACGCTTTAACTTCTTTCAGCGTCACAATATTTTCACCACGCCAAAATCAGGCAACACAAGATCAAGGATGAGAAAATGTATTGCCGTTTAACAGGGGGATAAACTTAGTTCGGTTGCTGTCAGAAAACAGAAAACATTTCTTCTTTTGGCAGAATTATCCAAGTCATGTACAGTTTTGGAGTTTAAAAGAGAGAGAGAGAGAGAGAAAGAGAGCAAGCTTTTTAAGTCACCTAAGTTAGTAAATATCTACATCACAAAGTTTTCTTTGATTTGTTTAAACCTGAAACTAAAACTATAAATTAACACCTGCAACTTTTTTTGCTACTTGCCATACATAATCAATAATTTATAGAAGAAGGAAAGCCACAACTTTGCCATTTTTTCAAATAATAGGATATTCACATATTCAGTTACTTAAAAATTTAAGTCACCTCATTTAGTAAACATCTAGATTACCTGGTCACAAATGCTTGTTTGAAACATATGTTTAAATCTGAAACTTAATCTATAAATTAACATCTGCAAATACTAATACTTTTTGCTGCTTGCCATACTTAACCAATAGGATATAGAGGAAAGCCACAACTCTGCCATTTTCTTAAATTATAGGATATACAGACTGCAGGATATCCAGATATTCAATTACTAGAAATTCTAAATCATTCTAAGCATATTCCATACTTTCATGGATATTTAGAGATCTATTTTAGACTGCCTTATTTGACCTTTGAGCATTGTCGTAGCACGTTGAGGTAGGGCTTGATTTAAGCATGATTTCTTAAACAAACCATCATTGGCTAAGTTCACATGACATGTTAAACCTTTAACTCTTGAGGGGTCCTTGGTGCTCTCTGAGCTTGCTTGTTTTCTGACAGAGGTTTCGTTACCCAAAGTAGATAACTAGCAGGGATGGGCTTCAAAAAATTTTAGCAAGGGGTTCTGTGCCCGGTTGCTGGGTGGGTGTGGCCTAGTCGACCTCCTGCATCACGGCGGAGGAGGCGTTTTTGCCATTCCCTGGCTCCAGAGGCTTTTCTCGATCCTCCGGGAGAGCAAAAACAGCCTCCCTGGGCTCCGGAGGCTCTCTGGAAGCTCGAAACTGGGCCGTTTCCAGACTTCCCAAACTTCCGGGAGGCCTGTTTTCTCCCCCCCCCCCCAAGCCTCCACACACGCCCTGCACTTACCTGCCTCCAAAACGGGCTGCATGGGGACACCTGGGAGGGGTGGGGCAGGGTGGGCAGGGCCAGCCAGGAGCGGGATTTGGGGGTTCTCCAAACTGCACAGAATCTTAGCTAGGGGTTCTCCCGAACCCCCACAAACCCCTGGCAGCTCAACCCTGGTAACTAGCACTAATGATGTTACCTAGATTGGGTAACGAAACGTCCACAAGAAAACAAGCAAGCTCAGAGAGCGCCAAGGAGCCCTCAGATCAACCCTGAGCTACAAACGTGCTTGATGAAACCTTTGACTCTGCTTCACAAGCCGTAACGACCGAGACGTGTGAGGCCCCGAGCTAGCAGACCACTC